CAGCTCTGACGTTCGCGAGGCGGAAGAGCGAGTGTTGGTAAAATATAAGGACCCCAAAATAAGGTACCCCTTATTTTCGGAAACTCCCATCTCGATTTTGTTGAAAGTTGCGAGACATCACACCCAGCCATTGGATCCGGCTGGGCTCCTCTCAAGGTCATCGGAGTAATATAGAAGTTATAGAAGCCTTAATAATTAGAATAGGACTTTGGGGGTTCTTTATTAAACATAATAGTATATTTCAACCCAAACCCTATTCTAAGTATTAAGGCCCCTATGTTAGAACTTGAGACAAGGGCGACAAAACCCATGGAAGGGCTGCTGCGAGGCAAACGAGGCCAATCGGAATTGGACCCAATCGAGACGTGCCAAGAAGAAGCGTCTGAAGATCCTGGCCACCTAATCCCTAGGACTCCAAGTCTAACAAATAGCACTTACTTTGGGGCCCAAAGTCTATAAATGGTACCTACTTTGGGCTATTTGGAGTCTTAGGGAATGTAGGAACCTGCTTAAGAAACCCTGACCCTTTATTAGGGTTCTTAATATGAGCCCTGATATATTTGGGGTTATAGGGCCAGGGTTTCTTAATCAGGTTCCTACATTAGCCCCGACGGGCCTAGATTTGTGTTGATATTGGTCTCGACTGGGATTTGCGAAGCTCCTGGCCAAGAGGGAGTGGGGATCGTGCCGAGATGTTGGGAAGCTCACCGGCGCTGTCCAAACTTGCATGTCCAGCTCCGGACACAGTTTTGCGCCTTTTCGTTTGCCATGAACTCCAGGAAGTTGGAACACGAGTTAAGGATGTGATGTTCAAGAAGTCCATAGATGTCCTCTACTATACTTACTATACCTTCGGGTATCAAGCGCATGACGTTCTCTCTCGCTCGCTCTCTCTTGCCTGCTTGCTTGGGGTATGGGGACACGTGTTTTGGAGGCCTCACAGCTCGAGAGGGTCTGTCTTGTCTTCTTCTTCTTCCATTGGGCAATAGGGGCTTCTCTCTCTCTCTGTCTGTCTCTCTCCCTCTTTCTCGCTCTGTCTGTCGCTCTCCCTCTTTCTCGCTCTGTCTCTCTCCGTCTCTCTCTCTCT